AAGAGCACCCTGGTGAGTGAGACTCATGCCCCCACAGGAAGTGGAGAGCCTCACCTCTCACTGGACCCTCTACATGAACCTGGGCGGCTTCCTGCTGGGGCTCTTCTCGTCCACCCTGCTGGGAGCGTGGAGCGACTGTGTGGGCCGTCGTCCCCTGCTGGTGCTGGCCTCGCTGGGCCTGCTGTTCCAGGCGCTGGTGAACATCCTCGTGGTGCTGCTGCAGCTGCACGTCGGCTACTTGGTGCTGGGCCGCATCCTTTGCGCATTCTTCGGCGACTTCAGTGGCCTCCTGGCTGCTAGCTTTGCCTCGGTGGCAGATGTCAGCTCTCACCGCAATCGGACCACCCGAATGGCCCTGCTGGAAGCATCCATCGGGGTGGCAGGGATGCTGGCGAGCTTCCTTGGGGGCCACTGGCTCCAGGCCCAGGGGTATGCCAACCCCTTCTGGCTGGCCTTGGGCGTGCTGGCATTCATGACTTTCTATGCCGCTTTCTGCTTTGGTGAGACTGTGATGGAGCCCGAGCCAGCCCGGCTCTTCACGTTGCGTCACCACCGGTCCATTGTCCAGCTCTACACCTCTTGGGCCCCGGACAAGTCCAGGAAGCATTTGGCCCTGTACTCGCTGGTCATCTTTGTAGTGATCACTGTGCACTTTGGGGCCCAGGACATCCTGACCATCTATGAGCTGAGCGCCCCCCTCTGCTGGGACTCCAAGCTGATTGGCTACGGTTCTGCAGCGAGACACCTCCCGTATTTCACCAGCCTGCTGGGCCTGTGGCTTATGCGGTTCTGCCTGACAGACACCTGGGTGGCTGAGATCGGCTTGGCCTTTAACATCCTGGGGATGGTGGTCTTTGCGTTCGCTACCAGCACGCTCCTTATGTTCACAGGTAATGTGTGTGGGCTCAGGCATAGTTTATCCCAGAGGTGCAGGGTGGAAATTGGGGGACAGCCACTTGCTGGTTTATGCCTTTGGAAACATCGTTATGTTTCTAGTTGGCACCGGAAGACAGACAACTAAGAAACTTCATAAAAATGGCATCTTTTTAAAAATACGTATTTTTATTGATTTCAGAGAAGGGAGGGGAGAGAGAGAGAAACATCAATAATGTGAATCATTGATCGGCTGCCTCCTACACACACACACACACACACACACACACACACCCACTGGGGATCAAGCCCACAACTTGGGCATATGCCCTGACTGGGCATCTAACTGTGACTTCCTGGTTCATTGGTCGTAGCTCAACCACTGAACCACGCCAGCTGGGACGGCATCTTTGTTATATGTAAAGTGTTGAGCTTCGGTAGCCAAAGTAATTAACCCATATTATCAATCATAAATATTGTTAGTGAGACAGAGCCACGGACACAAGTATGGCTCATGCACTAATTGCTTCATTCCGTGGCCTCCCATAGCCAATATTCATGATGCTCTCAGACAAAGTCCATGCTATCACTGTCTTAATATTCACTTCTCTCATAATCACGGGACCTACCTCAAGTACTCTTAGTCAGCTGCTTTGGGTGTTTAAAAGTACCAACCTTTCATACCACAGATTTCAAGTTCCTGTTTGCTCAGTTCTTATTTTGGTGTGGAGCGGGGCAGCTGGGAATGGGGAAATAAACTTTTTTAAAGGGACAGATTTATTTTGATAAAGCTGTAAGGCTTAGAGCCTGAACTGCATAGTGTACAAAGTGAGCCATTCGGTAATCACAGGTTTATTAACTTGGCTGCTTGCCTGGACAGTGAGGCTGAAGGGGACCAGGTACCTTTCTCTCCTGCCCGCAGCATCTCCCATAGGCCCGGTGCTGGGCTCAAAGCCCTCCGGGGCGCAGAGATGATGGAGACCCTGTCATTGCTCTGGGAGCCTGGCACCCGAAGGGGCCCTGTGGTGCCTCATCATATACCCACTTGGAAGGATCTACTATCCTCTAGGACAGTGTTTCCCAAACTTCTCTCATGATGAGAATCACCTGGTAGAGTTGTTAAACTACAGATTCCTGAATCCCAACTAAGAAGTGCTAAACTAGAATTTTTGGGAACATATAGGTAAAATTGTATACTTAACTAGTGCTCTAAGCTTTTTACAATATTTTAAGTAACCTGGATAACTAAGCTTAGAGCACTAGTTAAGTATACAATTTTACCTATATGTTCCCAAAAATTCTAGTTTAGCACTTCTTAGTTGGGATTCAGGAATCTGTAGTTTAACAACTCCACCAGGTGATTCTCATCATGAGATGTTTGGGAAACACTGCTCTAGGGCAGTGGTCGGGAAACTCATTCATCAACAGAGCCAAATATCAACAGTACAACGACTGAAATGCCACTTCTTCAAAATGGACTCGTCCAGGGTGTGGTATTTTGTGGAAGAGCCACACTCAATGTGGCTCTCGAGTTTGCCGACCACAGCTCTAGGGCAGCCATTTTTAACCCTTTTCATCTTATGGCACATGTAAACTAATTACTAAAATTCTCAGCACACCAAAAAATGTATTATATATTTTGCCAATCTGACAAAAAAAAAAAAAATAGGTATAATTTTAATTTGTTCATACTGGATGGCTCTTGTCACTTTTTTTTATTTGGCAGTTAAGGGAAAATAGGTCAGTGCCCCTGACTACATAGTCAGGTATTGCATGTCTTAAAAATTCCTGTGGCACACTGGTTGAAAATTGCTGCTCCAAGGGTTTGCAGTTTTACGGAGGAGGCAGTAGTCACACAAGAGAAAGAAATGGTTGGAAAGGAAATAGTGTAAGCCTGTGAGTGACAGAATGCAAAGTGAAAAGGAACTACCGTATTTTTCGGACCATAAGACGCTCCAGACCATAAGACGCACCAGTTTTTAGAGAAGGGAAATGAAGAAAAAAAGATTCTGAAACAAATAGTGTCCTAAAATATTTTATGTGCATTAAAACCCAACATCACAGTCATAAACACATGTAATCAACCCTGTAAACAGCAGCATTTAGAACCATTTTAGAGCCGGGCAAGCACACAGAGACCACACAGAGCCGGGCAAGTAAAAAAACTTTTTTTTAAAAGTATATGTGTAGGCTATATTTGGACCATAAGACGCAGGGACTTTTTCCCCCCACTTCTGGGGGGGGGAAAAGTGCGTCTTATGGTCCGAAAAATACGGTATGTGTTTCCTATGCCATGCCCTTCATGGATGTTTCCTGATGTATCCATTTCCCAGGGCAGCTATAACAAACCAGAGGCCCGGTGCACAAAATTCGTGCAAGAAGCTCAGCGCCCCCACCCACTATGGCTGCCACCTGCCTTGGCCTCAGCCACTATAGCTTCGTCCAGAAGGTTGTCTGATCTAATTAGCATATTGTGCTTTTATTATTATAGATTACCACAAATTTGGTGGCTTAAAACACAGAAATTTGTTCTCTCACAGTTCTGGAGGCCAGAGGTCAAGAATCCATATCACTGGACCAAAATCAGAGTGTCACGAGAGCCATATTCCTTCCGTAGGTTCTAGGAGGGTATCTGTCCCTCATCCCTTCTGACTTCTGAGGGCTGCCAGCATTCCTTGGCTCCCGGCTGCATCACTGTGATCTCTGCCTCGGTGATTACATTGCCTCCTCTTTTGGGTGCCTTCTCCCTCTGTCTGTGTCAAATTGTTTAGGGCCCAACTTATCAGGTTGTCATCATCCAGAATAATCTCCTCATCTCAAGATTATTAACTTATCTCATTTTCCAAATGAGGCAACACTTATAGATTCCAGGGATTAGGACCTGATATCTCGGGCCATTATTCAACCTTCTACCACTCCAGAATTGTTCTGTGGGGCAGGCCTTGTTATCTTTTACAGATGGGAGTCAGGCCCAAGGCCACCCAGTGATAGCATCAGGTTTTGAACTCAGGACTGCCTCCCAAGTCCCAGGCTTGTTTTATGTGCCCTGCCATCTCCCTACTATGTGGGTGATACCCGCTGGGACCACAAGAGGTGTTCTGACAAAAACGCCACTGGTGGGGAATCAGCGGCGTTTAATCATAAAAGAGGAAGCAGGTAGGCCAAAGCTTGAGGAGGGTAGTTTCCATTCCTCCTCAGTCCTTGTGTCCTTCTCTACCAAGGAAGTTCTTCCTGTCTAACCTGAGTTCCATCTGGGGTGGTCTAGGAGCTCTGCTTCCATCTTGCTTGGGCACCCCCCTCCTTAACCCCGTTTTCCTAATGATTGTTTCTCCACAGGGTACGGGCTCCTCTTCCTGTCTCTAGTCATTACACCCATTGTCCGGGCCAAGCTCTCCAAGCTGGTGAGCAAGACAGAGCAGGGTAAGTGTCATGGTCAACCAGCATCTGGTTCCTTATACCCCAATGTTCTCTGAACAAATGGCCCAGGGGAAGCAGAGGACCACGGCCTTGGGCTTTCAGACCACAGAGTTGGAATTTACAGTCAGCAGAGCACTATTTTGTTCCTTGGGTCACCCAGACAGAGGATTTGCCCTCTCCAGTCCTCAGCTTTTCCATCTGTAAAATGGATGCGGTGACGCCAGCGTGCCCTGCTTCACTGGGGTCAGAGCGTACAAGCTCAGAGGGAGTGGGCAGCCTTATGGTGTGGGTTTCATTGTCCCCAAGTGACAGATGAGGAAGCCAAGGCCCTGAGGGTTCAACTGACTTACTCAAGGTCACTCAGTAAGTGGTGGAGCTAGGTGCAAGCCCAGGTCTTTTAAGAGCAGCAGGTCTTGGGATCTGGGTTTTAGTCCTGCCTCTGTTACCCACTGGCTGTGTGATCTTAGGCAGGTCCCTTTTCCCTTTCTGGGACTGTTTCCTCGCCTATACAAGAGCGTTTTGTTGTTGTTTATTTATTTTTTAATGTTTTTATTGATTTTAGAGAGGAAGGGAGAGGGAGAGAGAGAGAACCAATGAGAGAATCTGATCAGGCTGCCTCCTACATGTGTCCTCCTGGGACCAAGCCTGCAGCCTGCGCATGTGCCCTGACCAGTGCACGGGACGATACTCAACCAACTGAGCCACACTGGCCAGGGCAAGACTGGTTTGTTCTTGATGACATCGACAGGCCCTTCCGACTCTGATGGTCTGACATTTAATCTCCGCTTCTGTCGGATTATTGCCCCCTTCACAAAATTTGGGTTCTGCTGGCATAACTCTAAAGTAGGGGTGTCGAACTCAATCAGAGAAGGGGCCAAAATCTAAAATCCAGCCTAAATCGCGGGCCGAATGGTTTACTGAACAGTCATAAACTGTCATTGTGATGGAAACGCAGCGGAGTGCAGTGATGACAGCGCGGTGCGGGTCACATTGCAAGGCCTGGCGGGACGGATTTGGCCCGCGGGCCTTGTGTTTGACACATGTGCTCTAAAGAATAGCTTTTCTCAGGCCTCTGGGTCTTTAGACCCCAATATAGAAACATCTGGCTCATCCGCTTTCCCCATCTGCCCCTGGAGTCCCTATCAGTTCCCTTGTCCCAGGGCCCAGGTGCTTCCATTCATTCACTCAGTAAGCTTTTTGTCCAGCACCTTCACTGTGCCCGGAGGTGCCAGGGGAACAGGAAAAAGACAACAGCCCTTACCAGCTGGCTCCCTCCAGGGGGCAGGCCCCGTGATAGCAGCTGTACATGGGAATTCAGTGTTGCCACCCATCTATGAAATAGGTAGAATCCTTATTTAACAAAAGGGGAGCAAAACCCCAGAAGGTTAAGCACTCATGCACCACACACAGCTACTAAGTGTTGGAACTGGGAATTAACCCCACAAGTAACCTCACGCGGAATATGATTCTGAAGGGGTTAAGCCAAACACCATTTTTCTCAGGCTTTTGCTAGAGGATAGTCACATGCACTTTTTACGCGTGGATTTAACAACAGCCATTTGTTTCATCGCCCCTGTGTGCCAGGTGCTTCCCATGCATGACCTCATTGAAACCTTTTCACAACACGTGGTGTAGGCTTTACAGGTGAGGAGGGTGAGGCTCCGAGAGACTCAGGGACCTGCCCCCGTTCACACAGCTGCGAGTCGGTGGTGTCAGGACTCGAACCTACGTCTTTCAGACTCCACAGTGTGGTGTTTCTTTCTTCGCAGGTGCTCTCTTTTCTGCCGTGGCCTGTGTGAATGGCCTGGCCATGCTGATGGCCTCCAGCATCTTCAACTCGCTCTACCCAGCCACCCTGAACTTCATGAAGGGGTTTCCCTTCCTCCTGGGAGCTGGCCTTCTCTTCGTCCCTGCCATTCTGATTGGGTAACTAAGGGCTCTGTCCCAGGCTCCTATTATCCCAAAGGTTCCCTCCCCCTCCTCCTCCTTACTGAAGTCCAGTTCCCTTCCTGTAGGTATCAAGTCTCCTCCTGGCCTGCGTGGAGCCCAGGCTAGGGATCTCACAGGTGAGGCCGTTAGTTGCCAGGATCCAGGCTATTTTCTGGTGTAGGAGCTGGGAGTGGTGTAGCCTGGTCTGGGTGCCGTCTACTTCAACAGCCGTGAGCGTGCTCAGGGTAACAGTGTAGCGTCCCTTTCAGGTTGGGGTGAGTCCTTGGGCAGTGAACTTCTTTACCCACACTGAGTCCCCGGGCTGGAAGGGGTGTACAGGGTCTGTGGTGCGCACTGGCAGTGCATCTGGAACAAGCTTATGGGTGGCTCTCTGGGTAAACTGCAGAGCTTGTAAGGACTTGAGCAAGGGAATAGTTATGAATTCCAACTTTCAGTTTCTCCCTGCTGTTGGGAAAGATGGAGGGAAGTCTACCATACATGATCTCAAAAGTGGGGGGAACCCTTCCCAATAGGAGGTATACCTGGCCCATAAGAGGGCAAAGGGCAGGAGGTTGGTCCAGCTTTCACTGGTTTTTAGGACATGTTTAGTTAAACTCCTTTTTAGAGTCTTGCTCATGTCTGTCCTAAGGCGTGAGCTATATGTTCGGAGATACTTTGGCTACAAAGACATGGCTGTTATCTGATCCTATGACTACTGGCAGCCCAAAACTAGGTATAATCTCCTGGAGTAATTTCTTGACTACTATAGAGGCAGTTTCTGTCCTAGTGTGGTATGCTTCAACCTAATCTGAGAAGGTGTTTATAAAAACTTGTACCCTGATGCTGGTGGCTTAATCTCTGAAATCTACCTCCTAATGCTCTCCTGGGGAATTTCCCTGGGGCCCGAATTCCCAGGGGGACCCTCTTATCTTGCTTAGTATTTACCTGTATGTAGACAGTACTTCTAGTGACTATGCTTTTGATTACCTTATCTAAGCTTGGTAGTATCTGCCTTGCAGAAGTTCAGAAGTCTTGGTGATGCCTAAGTGAGTAACCTGGTATAACGGGCAACTATCGTCCAACCTAGAGCCTCTGGGACCAACAGTCTGTCATCTGGTAGGGTCCATCAACCATCTGGTCTTTTAATGGCTTGCTTCTGTTCTGCCAATTCCTCCTTTTGTTTGGTGTAGGAGGGGGTCCATCGTAGGTCGGGGTCCAGCAGGGTTACTAAGACTTGTAAAGGCCCTATTGGTTTGGGGGCATAATGTCTCTTTCCCTGTGGATAGCACAGTGTCTCCATCAAAGGGCCTGGATTAAGGCCAAAAGTTCAGGAACTGTGCCCAAATGGTGTGGTCCAGGGTGACTACCGCTGCCCCTGCATATTAGATACCATCCTGAATGTAACTGCTCCCATCCGTGAACAGTTCCTTGTCATTTGTTACCTCTATGCAGTCATGAATGGGTTCCTCTGGATCATCTGGAAGCAGGCTGGCAGGGTTGATGGTCAGTGTCTTATGGAACCAGACGCAGGGCTGGTCCAGGAGAAGAGCTTGGCACTGGGTGATTCTGGTGTTTGACATCCATCTCTCTGGAGCACCTCGAAGGAAGGCCTCTACACCATGGGGTGTTGTCAGGGCTAGCTCCTGGCCCAGAGGCTGCTTATCTGCCTCCCTCACCAGCAATGCTGTGGTGGCATTGCCCGGAGGCACACTGACCACCCTGCTGCCACAGGGTCTAGTCTCTTAATTAGGTAACAGGTCTCTTCTAGGGACCTAGAGTGAGAACCCCTTTGATAATGCCCCTTACCTCACTCACGTAGAGGTGGAAGGGCTTCGTGACATCTGGCAAGGCTAGGGCAGGTGCTGAGACGAGAGCCTTCTTTAGCTCCTCAAAGGCCCGTTGTTCCACTTTGGTCCAGTTCAACGGCCATGTTCCCCCAGTACATGTTCCTTCTGAGGTCCACAGTCTTTCTTGATGTCCAAGGAAAACAGGCAGTTTGTCTGGTGGCTCCCTGGACTGACGTTTTCTTAGAGGTTATGGGTCCCATCAGCTCTGTCAAGATGGATAGGCTATCCTAGTGTCCATCAGGAAACTAATAGGTTTGCCCCCCACTAATAGGTTACCCTGGGGGCTTAATGAAAAGGAGGCCCGGTCCTGTCAGTCCTCTTCCTCTAAGTTAAAGACCTTTGGAGTCTGAGTCTTACTTTTTGCTTCTCTAGCTGTCCTACCAGGATATTCTCTTTCAGTGCCTCTGCTTCCTAAAATAAGTATACTAATTCCTTCTTATTTGCTGTTGGCTTTTTCTTCCTTTTAACTCTTTCTCTGTTCCCCTTCTCATTATATGTATAACCTTTATAAAAACTTTTACTATTTTAAATTAGCCTTTAAATCTTTTTTATGTCCTTTAAAAATGTATACCCATGCCTCAATTTTTTTTATTATTTTAAATATTTAGAAAAAGGCAGAGGGAGGAGGGAGCAGGTCCAGTGCCCTGTTCCCAGGCCTCCAGCCGCTTGAAATTTAAAATACCGTTTTTTCCTACAGATACGGGTCTCAGATTCTGATAAGCCTGAAAAGGGGAATGGGAGAATTTCTAGCTGTACCTTTAAGCCCCCTAACAGAACACGGTGAAAAGTGTCTAAGGGGTCGCTGGGGGTTCTTGGGTCTCATTGGGGCACAGGGGTCACAAAGGAATTTCTCTCTACGCCACAGCCCCCCAGCTACTCTAAACAACCCCTGGAGGGGATGGACACCAGGTGGGTGGAGGCAGGGAGTGCTGCTCGGGTCCAGGTGGCAAAGGAGATGCTCCCACTAGGGTGTTTTTATCTGGCGGCCCGCTGGGAAAATCGCTTGTCTCCTGCCGACGAAGGTGACCTCTATACTGTAATCAGACTACCTGACCTTTTTGAAAAGCTCCTCTGCTTGAGTGTGTTACTATTAATATTACTGATTTTAAAATTATAACTTAAGAGTTGATATACATATACATAAGGACCAAGTGGCCCATAAAATATTTTCCTTTCCTTATAAAGATTTTACAATGTACTGTAATCATTAATCATATCAAACTTAAATAGCCAATTGAGATAAACAGCTCTGAGACCGTTCCTCCACCACTGATTAAGACTGGGTGGTGGTAGGTGTCAGAAATAAGATTTATTTAGTTTTTGAGCTTGCTGGGCAGACTTGGTGACTTTGCCAGCTCAAGCTTCCTTCTTGTAAATAGATAACTTTAGAATCTGCTCCCTGCTTTTAACCTTTTGAACCACAATTGTTATAACTCCATACCTTTAAATTAATAAACATAGACAGAAATTTTGTTAGGTGGGCCGATCCCCCTCTGACAGAGAGCAAGCACCCCTGGGAAAAAGGAATCCCACTGGCAACTTGGGGCGGTTTGCTATGTGTCAGAGCACTCAGCCTTAAACAAATTAAAGATTTTTTTCTTTCTCTTTTTTCTTTTTCTTTTTTATAGATTTTCACACTTAGATGAACAAATAATTATACCCAAGTAGACATACAAAATATCAAACAAATGTCTGTACTTATACCCTTTCAGTAAACAAGTACTATTACAATGTTTCAGCAAAACAGAAATGGCACTCATGTTGGACAAAGGAAACAAGACTAATACTCCAGGAACTGTGAGGGGGAAGTTATCTTACAGACCGAGTTATCCTTGCGGCTCTGTCTCCGGCTAAGGTCCCCGAAAGGAGGGAGAGCCTCCTGCCCTTCTGAGGGGTCCCTCTCTCCTCCTCTGCATTGCCCATTTACTCCGTCCTTAGCAGGGGAAATAAGGCAGGCAGTCTATCTAAATCTGTAACCTTTGTTTTCCTCATAGATTTTTGCTCTAAGCCCCTTGACTCTTAGAGGATCTTAAATCCTCCTTTACTACTCTTGATTTCTCCGACCACCCCCTCCCTATCCTGTCCCGTCCCCCAGCCCAGTTGCTTGTCTCTCTTTCCAGTTGTGAATCAGAGGAAGACAATTTCTGCAGAGGGGGAAATAGAAACAGGGGGAGTTTCAGAGAAAACTGCAGACTACCGCTGTAGCAGTCCTCCCTTTCCAAGGCTGAGTTCTGACCTGTGGGAAAATGACTATTAGTCAGCCTGGAAAGATAGGGAGGAGGAAGATAAGGGTGTGGGGGGAGATTTCTTGCGAGCTGAAAGCCTGGATGGCCTCCTGAAAGAAAAGATCTTTAATCCAGTTATGGATGCTGTTAGAATTGGGGCTCCATAGATGGTTAATAATAATTCCGGCCTTGGTTCCACACTGGACTATGATGTCACAGGCAGGGACAGGGCCTGTACATCTCTCCGCCCTGCAGAGCTGTAAGCTCTGTCCTTGAAAAGTTTCCAATTACCAAAAGAGATAAAGATATAAATAAAAGTTCTTTGTTCCTTGAAATATAGTAAATTTACAAATCAGAGCACACGAAACCCCTACTTATACAAACAGAAATTTTTATTAGCTAAATGGCCTGATTCCCTCTACTGTGATAGAGAGCAAACATCTCTGAGAAAAATAACTCATCAGCACTGTTTAGATGTTTACAGACCATCACAGTAGGACTGCCCTATTTTCCAATAATTTAAATAACAAAGATAATAGAAACTCCCATGTATAACCAGACAGCACAAAATAGCTTTCATTTCATACAGACCGTTTAATGAGTGGATAATTATGCTAAGACAGATAAACAAGGGGCCCCAAAGAACAGCCTTCCAACCCCATGGAAGCAAAGCCAAAAATCAGATGACGGCCTCACGCCGACCGGTGGAAGCGACCCACCTCGTCCCAGAGGTTCCAGGGGTTCTGAGGACCCCAGGTCAACAGAAGGTCGGTAGAGTTCAGGAAATCAGAGAAGTTAGAAAGGAGACATTCGAGCAGGGTGCGTGGTGTCGATCCGCCTTGACCCATCCTGTGGGAAAGCAAGAAGCCGGCACACAAAACGAATGACACAGAGACTGAGACAAGGGAAAACGGGTGGCCACACTCACACTCCAAATCCAAATCCAAAACAACGGCCTGGAAGCAGCGTCCCGTCCCCACCACGGGGGAGGCAGTTATGCCGCGTCCCGCCTGCCTCCACTCACCAAACCTCTAGGATCCAACCCAAACCAAAACAAAGAGAGTTCTCTCTTACCGACAGACGATTTGCAGGCGCTTGGAGCCAATTGTAAAACCTTTGAGGCGGAGGGAGGGAGGCACCCTCCTCCGCCGCTGTCCAAGGAGGTCGACCCAAGAAGGGGACCTCGGTTATCTCGCAGCTGGGGCCTCCAAATGTTGTAACCCAGGAGAGACACCTCACTCGGACACAGATAAAAAATGTTTAGAAAACCGCGTTTATTTCCTGCGCAGTGTCTGCCCCTGTCTCATGCAGGGAAGACGGACCGGACTGCAGCACCAAAATCTAGAAGCCTTTTGCTTATATAGGCTTCTCATCCTTAGCAAGCAAGCAAGCTACGTGTACAGAAGCGGATATCTGCCTTTAGCCCATCAGCGATTCCTAATTAATTTTTTACATTTAACACGTCAGTTCTCCCTTCCTCTTCCCGCCACCTGGCCTTACCACTCTAGTATCAGATAGTGGTCAGCACATCCTGCTTTTAGTGAGCTTGTTTTAATTTAATATATTTTATTGATTTTTTACAGAGAGGAAGAGAGAGGGATAGAGAGAAACATCGATGAGAGAGAATCATCAATCATCTGCCTCTTGCACACACCCTACCGGGGATGTGCCCACAACCGAGGTGCATGCCCTTGACCGGAATCGAACCTGGGACTTTTCAGTCTGCAGGCTGACGCTCTATCCACTGAGCCAAACCGGTTTTGGCTTAATGAGCTTGTTTTAAGGAGCTGTGCAGCGGCTGCCTCACTGGCCTTGGGAATTTTTCAGTCCATAACATCCTGACCAGAAATGGCTGCCTGGAACCCTTCCTGTGGGGGTTTCAGGCCCAGCCTGACTCTCCCCTTGCAGATGGCTGCCTAATCCTCTGGAGCCCCTTTCTAGACAGGGGGGCCCTAGGGGAAGGGTCAGGCAAACATTGCTTCTTGCCAAGGTTGGTCTCTCCCCTTGGTCCCCCTCCATTCGCATTTTGCATTTTATGGATGGAACTACGATGACGAATCTGCCAGAGGGAAGCTGGAGAGCTTCCTTGGCTAGTTGTGGCTGGGCCGCAGGCTAGCCTGCCCCACCGACTTCTTCCCCCATAGCCTTACGACTCACTTTCCAGAGCCCTCTCCTCTGGACATTGCCTTTCTCCTCTGTGTTGGGAGGGAGGATACCTGTACCAGCCCGCCCAATCATGCCTGTGTCGCTTCTCCAGGAGCTGAAGAGGGCTCCCCCATATGTCAAATCTGAACACTCTCTCTGGTCTCTCACAGGATTCTTGGAAAGACTGAGCCTCACTCTGAATTCCAGCAGTTTTCCCAGAGCCCCTGACCTGCCTAGACGAGAGGACAGAGGCCAAGAGGAGCGAAGTGAGCGCTCACCAGCTGGAAGGATGCCCCTGGGACCCACCCACAGCAGCACGAGCAGCTCCCCTCAGAGGCAGTTCCCCCTGGATAAGGTCCCCACCTCCATCCACAGCTTGCCAGCCTATGTCTCCAGGATCTGGAATTGTAACCCAGACAGTCTGACTCCAGGGCAGGCAGTGGCGGGGGCGACATTTGGAACAGGGGCCTGTTTAGCCTTTCTGCAATTACATAACACCCTCCAGCGGGGAGAGGAGGTCCTGACGGAGGTGATGCCTCAGGGACCAATGGGAGCATGAGGGCTGTCTCTGCTTCCAACCCAAACGGTACAGCTCACCGTTCATTGTGAGCAGCCACCAGCCACTCCTTACTGATGGCTGTTTGAGGGGAAGAAGGGTTGTGGGAATGGAGAGAGTGCGCTACTGACTCTGGAATCAAGCCCCTGGGCTCAGCCGTGCCAACCATAATAATAAATCAGTCTAAGCACACTGACATGAACCTTCTGGTACCCCAGGCTGGGGGGGTTGGGGAGGCCAGCTGAGCCAGGGGGGACAAGAGCCTGAGGCACAGCACCAGGCATGGGGAGGACAGAAGGGCAGTAGGGGAAGGGTCAGACAAACATTGCTGGCAGCCCTTGGAGACATGGCCGTCCCTGCCCAGGCCCAAGCAGGGAGTGCCATGTAGCTGTGAGTGCTTCCAACCCAGCTGCAGCTGCAGACCAGCCAGAGCAGGGGCTGGCTCAGCCCAGTCCCAACCCAGGACGTGGCAAAAGAGGTTGTGCCTCAGGGAGGCCGGGAAGGGACTTGGGACCAGGCCAGGTCAGCTAAGGACACAGTGATTACAGGGCAAGGCCACAGGGCGGCAGGAGGGGGTGAGCCAAGGGACCAGCACAGTGTAGGTGGAGCCACAGTGTAGGTGTGGGTCCTTTATTTACTGTCCCACCTGCCCCCATAGGTCAGACAGGCAGCTGCTGGGCTGGGCAGAAGCCCCTGAGCTGCCATGGGATTGGTCCTGGCGAGGCCAGCCCAGACCTCATCTGACTGCCCGTTCTCTTCTGAGCTGCTGGGAGATGAAGGGCTGCCAGCAGGGGCTCTGGGAAAACTGCTCCATGGCTTGGAGCAGAGCCCTGGTGCTCGTTCTGAGAGTTAGACCCACTCCCTGAGGGGCCAGTACTGGTCTCCCTGGCAACGACAGCCCTGCAACGCCTCCCATCGCCGGGTATTCCTGCCAGGCCTTGTGCTGAGACCGCCCCTCAGCCTGGATTGTGGGAATCTCTTTCACGGCCGCGTGGAAAGAGTTCCAATCCAGGGTTCGGGTTCTGGAGAAGGGCCGCACACAAATGAAGAGACTTGAGACTTGAAGAAAATCAACTTGGCGATATGGGGGGCCAGGCGGTAGTCCAACTCTAGTGGGAGAACCACTCCTGCTCTGGCCCTGCCATCCCTTTTATTGAGGCTTTGGGGAAAACATCTTAGGCAACAAAACAGAAATTTACATGTAGCCCTTGGGCCAGAAATAACAGAAACTTACATGGGACCAACAAGGTGGAGGCTGCTTCAGCTAATAATACCTCAACTAAAGGTTAGAGCAATTAAGGTGGTTGACCAGCCTTCCTGGCCTGTCAACATCTCTTTGTTAGTGAAACTGGTTTGTTTTCCAGCACTGGATCTGAAGTTGAAAGGCAAAATTGGATTTAATATTAAGGTATCATAAGCCCCCAAGCAGACCCAAATCAGGCCGGTACTTGACTTTCAAACCAGACTTGGCCACAGGGTCCAGCCCCCTAATGCTGTTTCTACCCCATTCTCTCTGACCAGCCCTGCCAGTCAGTTTTCTGGCTGGAAATCACTCAAGTAAAGTGGGTGTGGCCTACGGCAAACGAAGGTCAATGTGGCCTTTACAGCCCAGGCCTATTTCTTCATTCCCACCTCACTGTCCCTTCTGTCATTGGAAGACTGGAGCAAGAAGAGGACAATCCAGTGATTGTCCCAGCAAGAGGCCGGAGCGGGGCAGCATAGGGGAGGAGGGGGCTCAGGTCTGGGCTCTACTCCAGCTACTGCCTGGCTCACGGGTGACCTTGAGCAAGCCCCTCTTTGAAAGGCTAGATCTGGTCATGGTTGGACAGGTTAGGAAGCACTGGGTTAGGTAACATTCTGAGATCCTTTCGGCCTCGTATGTTCTAGAATGAGATGCCTCTCTCCATGGGCCTGGGGGAAGGGTCAATGAGTTGGAGCTGGACTTTTGATCTCTGAGTGTCCCTGAGCAGTTCTTGGTCCCTGGGGAGGCATGAGGTGAGGTGGGGTAGGGACCTAGTTGACTCAGCTCCAACGTGGGGACAGCAGCTACAGTCCAGCCAGGCAGAAAGCCCTGGCCCTGCAGGCCTGCGTCAGAGCAGGCTCTGGGGGAAAGGCTAATTCTCAGCTGTCTGCTTCAGGACCAGCCCTGTGAGGCCAGGCCCACGTGGAAGGTGAGGGCCAAGGTGCCTGCCCTGTCACGGCAGGGAGGCAGTCCCGAGAACACAGAGACTTGGCTGGGGTGTGGGGAGGCTGAGCTCTGATTCCCCAAAGACAGGAGGGGCAGCATTGGAGGGTGTGCCAAACAGAGGAAAAACAAAAAAACAGGGCTGGAAACCTCTCTGAGCACTGTCCACGGAGGACCTCAGGAGGGAGTGGGATCGGGGACAGAAAGCTGGAGAATATTCGCCACACTGTATTGTTACTGTCTGCTCTGTGAGGGCAGTGTCTAGTCTGCCTTCATCACCATCAGATCCAGGGCCCTGCAGCAGTGGGACCCCTGGTGGCATGGAGGAGGAAGTACAGTCAAAGCCAGTGTTGGAGCGAGGGCCAGCTGAACAGTGTCTGGCAGGGAGGGGAGTGAAAGAAGTACCAAGGTTGGAGTGAGACCTTTGACTTCCTGACCATGTGGCTCAAGAACTAAGAGTGACCTGGCCAGCACCTGCAGGGGGCGCTCTGGGAGCTGAGCCAGCCTCAAGGCGCAAACACACTCCTCAAGAGGGAGGAGGCAGGCCTGGAGCCTTCCTACCCTCCTGAAGGAAGGGGCAGAGGGGTATTCCTGCTCGTTTGTTTCTGTACAGCCCCTGGATCAACACCCTGTCCCCACTGGTAGATTCTTGGGGGCGAGGAAGAAGCCAGCTGTCTGGGGAGCAGCAGCCCAGCCGGGGCTCAGCCTCCAGGATGACTCTCCGGAGGGCAGTGCCACCCGCCGAGGGCTGAGCACAGGAGGCCAGGTCTGGGTCCTGGGCTGCCACTCGTGGCTTAGAAAACGGCACATCATTGGACTCCTCTGTACAATGGGATAACGCGGGGTGAGGTGAAATGGCTCTGATGATTGGGGAGACCGTGGAGTGGGGTGCTGGGGACTGGTAAAGGGGAGTGAGGGGGTTGTATTTCAGAGCCTTGCTACTTAAAAGTGTCTTTTCTTGACCACCTTCATGGGCTCACCTGGGAATCAAACATGCAGAAATCTAGGCCTCACCCCAGGTCACCTGAATGGAATTTTAACAAAATCCCCAGGTGGTTGGATGTACCTGCCCTTCCTCCCAAGGAGCTGCAGGTTCTGCCCAGGCTACTGCTGGGAGGAGTATCTGGGCTGGGAGGAGTATCTGGGCGAGCCAGGTGGGGCGGGAGCCTGAGGCACACCACCAAGCATGGGGAGGGGAGCTGGCAGCTCTTGGAGACATGGCCGCCCCTGCCAAGGCCCACACAGGGAGTGCCGTGTACCTGTGAGTGCTTCCAACCCAGCCGCAGCCGCAGACCAGCCAAAGCAGGGGCTGGCTCAGCCCAGTCCCAACCCAGGACGTGGAGAAAGAGGCTGTGCCTCAGGGAGGCGGGGAAGGGACTTGGGACCAGACCAGGTCAGCTAAGGACACTGAGTGATTACGGGGCAAGGCCACAGGGCGGCAGGAGGGGGTGAGCCTAGGGGCCAGCACAGTAAGTGGAGAGCCATCACGGGACTTTTATCCCTGCTGGTTCCCAGGCCCAGGCCGCTTGGCTGGGAGGGCTGGGCATTGCCTTCATCCCTGTCAGAGGCTGCCTGACTTCCCCTACCCAAGCCGGCTGATGTCAGGGCAGGAGAGGGGGTTGTGTGCAGCGAACCCTTGCTCTTCAGTGTCTCCAGAACTGATCCGTGACCCTCCCACACCTGAGCCAGAGAACCTGGCGGCAGGGCTTAAGGGTGGTCTGACCCTTACCACCCCCAATGCCTAGCTTCCCTTTCTGGATACGGAGGAAGCTGGGTTTGGGGTGGCCCATGGGGTCGGGGAGAGGGAGAGCCAATTCCTGAGAAGGGCCCAGGCTGTCTCGGGCCAGGGAGGCCAGTGTGTGGAGCTGCTCCTTCCGGGAGACCATGGAAATGGGGGTCACAGCAGGACTTGGGGACTAGGGGCTGGTTAAGTCGGGCCCATGTGTGTAACACCCTCCAAACTGGTGTCAGAGCCTGCCGACGAGTCCCGGGAGGAGCGGCCCTGCAGGAAGCGGATGATCTTCTCAATGGTGGCCTCCTGGTACTCGTGGGACCACCTGTGGGCACAGGCCGGTGGGTCAGAGGGCTGGGAAGGGGGCACTGCTGGCTGGGGGCCCGTGTGCCCACCCCCCCTCCTCACTTGATGCCGTTGAAGGTGAGCACGGCCTGCATGTCCTCGGGCAGGGCCTGCGGTTCTGGCCACTCGAAGCCATCAATGATGGGCAC